TGTTAGAGCAGGCCGGCTGGGCAAGTAATTAGTTACTACATTCTAAAACTAAGCTAAGGTCATTGAAATCTGACCAATTTTATCAAGGTTTTGTCTTAGGCGCACGAACATTGCAGTTGTAGAAAGTGAATGTACCAAAATTTGTGACAATGCGTTACTTGTCTAGAAATTGATTGAACCAATAAAATTATTTAGCGGTGAGGGGTGTGCACTTATTTTAAATGTTAACTCTTTTACGTCGATGCGTTGTATTCAACAATGCTAGGTGAACTTTCGGAGTAACTATGGCCCTTTTCAATACGCATTCATCCATGGATAGAAAAATGCTGTCAGTCCTTGCGAGAGGATCTAGTTCCCATTCAGTTCTGCTTAGCATTGATAAGTTTTCTGAGTGCGATTGCAAATCTGACACTAAAATATCTCTCCTCAAGCAGTCCTCTTTTTACAAATGATATTTTCCTCAGTTAGGTAACTCATCAGCAGAAATGGTGAAATAATTCTGACGTGTTAGTTAATTTGATTTCAAACCGCACTGAGCCATAAATGGTACATGTTAAAAAGAAACCTTTCATCGTCTGAGGAAGTTTTCTCCTCTGAAAAGAGGCGGTCTTCCATTTTCTTTTTTCCATGTTACTGTGGACTGTGCAAAAAACATGACATTATTAGGTTATTGCCAAAATGCTATCGGTTCAAGCTATCATGTATATTAATTTCGTTCAATCTAAAATTTTCAAAAAGTATGTATAATCCAAGATAGAAATATCTAAATGCATTCGGCTATTCTTAAATTAACTTGCTTACTATAGACCTGCGTTTCCTTATGAGAAAGATACGATAAAAGCTATGACTGCGAGATGCCAAATGGGTTTTTGAGCAGTTTTTGTGGACTAAACAGTGATATGACCCACCCTGAATCTCTGGGTCTAAAACTTAAGATATACTAGCTTTTTAAGTTCATATCAGTTAAGTTTTGTTGCTACGAGTACAGACCAGCACAGAAATAAAAATATATATGATCTTGATTTCTCGACTTCATTGAATAATTGTATTGAGTAGATATATTGATGTAAACTTTACATGACGATGAATTTATTTACCCAAAAGGAATAGGCTACTTAATTTTTGGCCCATAGATACTAAATGAAAAGATCTGAATAATGTGTCTTATCTTTAGCTATCACACAGAACAATCGCCGGTGGTTTTATTTTGATGCGAAGCTTATTATTGAGTTTACCTTCCACCAGTGTTTTTCATATCAGCGTGAAAGAACACAACAAAAAAACGATAACATTGCATGGAAAACTCTATTCTACTAGCCTTCAATGCGTTAATTAATTTAACAAAAACCAACCCCGGGAGATGTGTTTATAAAACGAACTCCCCTCCTCGTGTTCACCCGCTAGCCACCCGCTACGACTTTGTCTCGCTAATAACACGTGCCAAGTAAAAAAATAGTTCGTCATATATCCTCAAGAAAGAGGTACGTATTTGAAATATTGGATGTAACCTTGAATTGCAGAGACCATTTTCCTTGACGATATTTATGCGGTAAAAATTCGACCTTTTCCCTTAGCGTAGAGGTGGTATTTTTAATTTCGTGCGTGAGATGCAAATCACAAGTTGAGGAGCCCTGCTTTGTAGTTTACTAAACAATACGAAAATTCTAGAAGAAAGATCGATCTTAATATGTCTAATAGAGAATACCGGCTGTACACGTTGCGCTTTGAGAAAATTTCCCATAAACTGAGCAAGTTGATCGCGAATTTCCATAACGGCGGAAATTCTTCTGATGGGAAAAGGACGTGTGCCCCTTGAATGTATTAAACTATGTTTTCATAAAGTATATCCACATTATTTAGCAGATAAAGGCATAAATATGTTCCACTTGCTAAAGTAACAATCTGCCTGTTCTTTCTCTTTCTTTGCTCCTTGACCTTGGCTTTCACAAGTCAGTGTAAACAGAAAGTTCTGTTTACAACACGTAGGGAAAGGCTTGCGATCAACTCCTTGCCTCACACGCAAACCTGTGATGTGCTATAGGCGAACAACACGAATTCTTCAGCTCCCGGTAGGAGCTAATAAGCAACTGTTCGTGTAGGTAGGACTATTCACCGTGGTTGGGGTCTTTTTCCGTAACAAAACAATGAAAATATCACGCGAGTGACACTAGTCTCCTTAAATTATGTTTAGTACTAGATAAGATTTCAGTCAGGAGTGGGATAAGTCTACTTACATTGATTTTAAGTAAGAGTCAGTCATAAAAAGGAAGAATTATCACAATTTTCTGGCGTTCATCGGTGTTTCATAAATCGGCGGCTTGTTTGAAAAGGGAACAAGGCATATGTAATCATGCATGGGCTTTTCAAAAATGCGGTCAGGGACGTTTAGGACAAGAGAGGACGAACGTGTCGCCGCAGGTATCTTGAGATTTACATGCACTAAAGCGCCTGGGAAATGCAGCCTTCTCATGTCATAACAGCTTCAAAACAGGTTCTTTTTTGTTTTTTTTATTTATCCTTCTCTTCATTTTATTTTTTGTCAGTTCAATTTAAACAGGCCAGTTTAAAGCAAGATCTTCAGTTGGGAAGAAATAAAACGAGAACAGTCAAGACGCTAGTGAAGATAACACTGAGGAGAAGGAAATATAGCAGTCATATTTTACATTTGTAAAACCGGCTTAACCCAACATGGCTCTAAAGCCAAAGATCGATGGCTCACAGGAATTAGCTCGATAGATGGAATGCTAAGAGAAATGTAGATAGATTCCGCTTGAGTCAAGGTTACAGCACTGAAAACAAGTAAACTGTTACTCCTGCTGGTGGCACAACTGTATGGTTCTGCATTCCAACGAGGTTCGCTATTCTCCAGGAAAACAAAGAATAACAATCAACGCCTGCTAATAAACCTTACTGTCATTCAAATTGGACCTACCTACAACAAAAAATTGTCATGTCTGAAGAGAAGCTTGTCTATCGTAGTGGACTTTTCACGAGAGTTTAACTGGTGAAAATAGAGCATAGCACTTAAAGAAATGATTACATGATCGGTCCATTCGATTTTGAAGAGACCTTGTTCTATATATAATATGGTCTAATAAGTGAACTGCATCGGGTATTGAGTTGCCGCATACCTGCACAAACAGATGTTACATTTTTCTGCCAATCTTAAGAATGGAATCTGTCAGCATAGCGTATTCGGCGCTAGCGAAGATTGCCATAAGCTTCTCTCCACGTGTTGTCAATCAGGTATCAACAGGTAAAACTGAGTAGTGACCATGTTTTGTAAACACCACTCCCTTAAGAGTCTCTAAAAGAAAAAGAAAAGAAAGAAAGAAAGCCAGATGTTTCCTTGGAATGCTCCCTGCCCGCATTCTTTAATTTTTGTGCCAAACGGCGGTAGGTGCCGAGTAAGCATCCGGTTTCAACTGAACCATCTATAACTGTTTGTCTTTTATTGTCTTTTCCTTTTCTTTTTCTTTGAGATTCTGGCCTTCCTATTCCTGCTTTCTCAGTGGAGGTGAACTTGGACAAATAAGCGAGAAAGC